TCCCAAAGTCAAACATAAGTGAAAATAAGTGCTCGATTTTCCAGGGAAGGTGCACGCACAATTCTTCTCACTGCATGCGTGAGTTCTCATCCGTGTCTTCTGGCTCTTTAATGTTTAAAAGCTTAAATTAATTTAGTTTAAACACAGATAGTAATGTGTGCTGTTCAGGTCTCACATGCGCATGTGCGCTATCAAAACCCGGGTGATGACGGCATCAATGACTGCTCTTATTCCAGCATACGGCACTCGCATTTAACAAGGAGTGACAGGTTTGTCCACGTTTCTTTTTTCTTTTTTTGTTACTCGCTGATGTTGTAATGTATTGGGAAGCCAGAATGCGTATCCACTGACAGAAACATTAGCCAAACTTTAAATTTTTTACCAAACCATATTACAGATGCCTTGTCAGATTTAAGAACTGACAAGGCATCCTAGAAAATTTTCACCCCTAGAAAACACACTCCTCCTGAAGCTGCTGTGGATCGTTTGAGTGGTTCGGAGTGAACGTCACCTTGCCGTACTGAACCTCCTCTTCCTCCTCCTCCTCTTCCTCCTCTTCCTCCTCCTCCCTTCTCTTTGTCTGCAGTTGGACCGCGGCGTATTCCACATCAGCATCAGGGAGCGATTCTGCGGAGAAACAATGACAAGACGAGACATTACTGGACGTCTATACTCATTCTGGATAGCTGTTAGTCACTGCTAGTCTACTGCAGAAATAGCAGCTTTACCACAACTGCTAACTGACAAATTAAGCTTTTCAGGAGTGACACCATTTCACTGAGAAAGTAGCAAACAATAATGATGAAAAAATATCAAATCCAGTGCAAGTTAAACTAGCGAGTGGTTCGGAGTGAACGTCACCTCGCCGTACTGAACCTCCTCTTCCTCCTCCTCCTCCTCCTCCTCCTCCTCTTCCTCCTCTTCCTCCTCCTCCATTCTCTTTGTCTGCAGTTGGACCGCGGCGTATTCCACATCAGCATCAGGGAGCGATTCTGCGGAGAAACAATGACAAGACGAGACATTACTGGACGTCTATACTCATTCTGGATAGCTGTTAGTCACTGCTAGTCTACTGCAGAAATAGCAGCTTTAACACAACTGCTAACTGACAAATTAAGCTTTTCAGGAGTGACACCATTTCACTGAGAAAGTAGCAAACAATAATGATGAAAAAATATCAAATCCAGTGCAAGTTAAACTAGCGATGGGAAGATCGGATCATTTTAACAACTCTCTTTTAAGCTGGTCCTTAATTGTAAGCTCATAACCAGTTTCAGGACCAACTATAGCCCAGCTTAAACCAGCTCAAACCAGCTGCCATGCTTCAAAACATTCCTAACCAGCATATATTTGTCAACAGGGAAATTTAGTTTATGACCCAAGATCAAAAACTACATTAAAGCTGCATTACGTAAGTTTTGCCTCTTTGTCGCCATCTCTGTTTGAAACCTGCAATTGCAGTTATTTGCAGAATTATATTCTTTATGCGTGGTGTGCATCGGCATGGCTCCTCAGCGCGGATTAATCTAATGTTTTGAGGTGTATGTGTGGCTGTCAGTCACCGCACCAGCGTGGCTATTTACTGTATTTCAGAATTACAGATACTAAGTCTTGGAAGTATGTCCAAAATAAGAAGTTTCACCGGAAAATGTCATCTGAACAAGTAACATGTCTGTCACTTTTACAATAAATCGCACTACCAATGGTGATTAAATCTAATGATCGCAAAATTAGATCAGACGAGTTCAAACCGTGCAAATTATTGTTATACTTTGTTCTAAAATTGTTAATGTTAACAACATCTACATTGCTTAACTAAACTTCTTTGAGTTTCTTACCTGTATTCTCCTTTTCACCCTTTTTCTCATGAGAGATATCAGCGTATATGAGCTCCGTATCTCCAGCTGACGGGAAAACACTGACATTAGCAACAGATCAACTACAATCTCATATTTCAGTCATTAAAGTATTGCCTTCAAAACTATCCTCAGAACAGATCATGCTGGCTAAACGTTTTTCACATATCAGACTGTTTGCATGTAACGCATTGAGAAAAAGGCAAGGAAAGAATACAGTAAGTGAGGTCATATATTCACCAATCTTTGATTTATTGGATTTCATTCATGAAACTTTTGTAAATATATGAGTAAATTCTGAGTAAATTGCACATAGAAAGTACCTTCCCAAAAAATCCACAAACACTTCATTAAACCTCATACTTCATAGTTAAACATGTATGTTAATGAATTCCAGTCAATTGTAAACAAGGCATGCATGCCTGCACATTTATAATTGGCTATTTATTTTCACAATTAACTAACTGGTTAACTAATTAATTTGTAATTATACTGTATATTATTATGGTAAATAGTGTTATTATAAATTATATAAAAAATTATAAATAAATGCTCAAAACAAATTCATTGTATGTGTAAACATACCTGGTACTAAAGCTCTTTCTGATTCTGATTAAAATGTAGTGTCAAAAGAATACTGAACATTTAAATGTTTTATGCATGTTTCACATGTTGGGAGTATTTTTTTTTCAAACCAACTAACAATGTGAAAATACAAACACTTTTGTGAATCATAACAGCTTTATTAATAATTGTCATGATGCTTGAGGAATAATATTGTTTCAAAGCCTTTCTGCCATTTTGCACCAATTTTAACCCCAGAAAGTTTGTAAAATCTCCACCAAAACTGGCTCAGATCATCTTCATCACATCTATAATGTTTCTACTTTGGCTTTTGGTGTAATTGTGTTTGAAGCTGTCTGTAAGAGAGTGCAATGAACAAACACATCTCTGCAGCATATATAACACATAAGCTACAAATAGTACTACATTTGAACCTTCATCAGTTAGTATATGAACTAGAGATTTAAACACACTGACCTGGTGTCGACTTGAGCTGCTTCTTCTTGTAAATATAACACACGGTGAAGAACAGCAGAATGAGGACCAGAGCAACGCAGCCCAAAGCAATCAGAGAGAATTTTAAAACTATGGAAGAAAAAACACAAGGTCACTTAAAACAACCTCCAAAACTGCTTTGAAAAGTTCATTCATAACAACTGCAACAGCAACAAGAACAGAACAACTTCATGCAATTAACAGCACAGTGAATTAGTTCAAAAATCATATTAGCTACAGAAGAGCCTGTAAATCCCTCACTGCCATCATTATTATTGGGTTTATTGGTAATTTGCAGTATTTGTTGTTGTTCAGCACTCACACATTCGTGGAAATTCTTCAAGGCTCTGAGTGTGAGTTTGATTCGTATCTGCTGATGAGAAACTCGTACCATTTTCTGATGACTGTGTCGACGTAGAGGTCAAACTAGAGGTCACAGCTGCAGTAGTTGGTCCTGAAATAAAACATCAGCACAGAATCACCTGCTTTCTCTCTTAATATGAAGTACTACATTTTTGAAGAATTAAATGGGCAATTAAGAGAATCGATTTGTCTGAATCTCATGAAAACAAGGACACATTCCAGGTCACATTTCAGTTCAGAACTGCATGTAGTAATACTGTAAATATTTTGCATGTTTCATTTAATGTTTTTATGGGCATTAAACTGTTTTGAATTGTAATATTTACCCCTCAAATATAATTTCTGACATATGAGGAAAATGCAAAAAAATTAAAAATAATAATAATAATACATGAATGCAAATAAATAAATAAAATTATATTATAAAAAGTAAAGTATACATACTGTAATTATAGTATTTTTCCATCTTTATATTAAGTTATAATTAAAATCTAATTAAAATCATCATATTATCATCAAAAATGTACCTGAGAGAAATTTATCATATGCAACTGCAGTAATAAAAATCAAATAAATTATCTTTGTAAATAATGGCAATTACAAAAATAAACTAAATTCTTGAACATTATAGTAATGAAAATTTAGGATATGGGAGTGTTTTTAAGTGTCATGCAAATAATATCACAATGCAAATAAAATGAATGGTTGTAAAATAGTCCTTATGCAAAATATAATTTCTTTTGATTTTTTGGGTGAAATTTTTGTTTGTTGTTTATAATTTAGTGCCACTCCAGCTACTGTCAAGAAATAAGTGAAAACAAGTAATATATATATATATATAAACAAATAAGAAAAAGTTTTTAAAAAGTTTATTGTTGATTTAAAAAAAATCTAAATCTGGTAACACTTCATTCAAAATCTTTTATTATGAATTAACAAAAAAAAAAAAAAAAAGGAGAGTCCTAGAGG